AAAATCACGTATTTGTAAAATCTAACGCTCACGTATTTGTAAAATCTAAGTGACTCGTACAACATGGAATTCATATAAAACGGAATAATCAAGTGTTATAGGGGTCGACTGTATTCCAAACAAAATTCTCTCTTGATTTGATCTGAAATTTTGGGATAAAAATCTATAAAAGATATTTTTTTACTATGTTTAATATAGCCAATATTGGCTGTGTCACGTTGTGAAACTATGAAGTGAGTTTCCACATTTAACAAGTATATGTAATAAATTCTCAGAAATTCAAAAAGTGTACAGTATGTCTAAAATTTACTGACCGGATTAATATATTTAATAAAACAAATCACAACGAATGTAGAGAAGTAATATTTTACAATGAATATAAAAACTCAAACATTTATCTTCATAAATCCACCAAAGCCATTGTCTCCTCTGCCCACTGTTTCTAGATTCAATGCCAATAACATTTGCATTATTCTGTCTTTTACATATCCTCATAGAAATAGGGGAAAATATCTATCGGTGTGATATCTGGGAGACGAGAATATGTAGTAACGTCTGTATTTTGTATTCATCCAGCAGAAACTTGCTGTCTAAGACCTCGCTCACGTGTAGTCCCACTACGATGCTGAAAAATTACATCAGGTTGCATTTATTCCAAACGAGGAATACCGAACAATTTCAGCATAAACAAGTAACTGTTCGTTTTCATCATTTTTCTTTAAGAAAAATGTTCCGAAAACTTGAAAACACCAGACATTTAGCATCTGGACTGGCAATACAATGTAATTTTTCGAGTTGATGTATTCCACGCGAGAAAAATGTCTGCCGATATCTATTCTGAATCTTTTCATATTAAGCGCCTTAAATTATCGTTCGTATTTACATTATGTTAATTATATAGAGGAGAAGGTGGTATTATGGAACACTGCGGGTATTATGGAACCACCCCATTTCGAACTGATAATAAAGGCGAGCTGTAGCGGAATGTGGCTGAACTGAACTAGGCAGACATTCATAGCAAGGGGAAAACCCGTTTTACTTCGGTTAAACAGTTGACCGTATTTAATCAGCAAATTTGTTTTTTTCAAAATTCACAAGTTTTGAATGCTAAGTGAATTTAATTATTTTTAAAATATAAATCGCGTAGTTGTAGGTTCACTGGTGCACTTATTCCGTTCCAGAGACTTAGGGGTACATATTAATCTGTGCGATGTTCACGTTTTTTAAATTTTGGTCTCGACAGACATAAGTTAATTCAAGACGACGATGCCTGAAATACGGACCCCTTTGGTGCTTTTACAGTAATATGGAACTCAACTCCTCCGAACTCTCTCTTTGCAATCAGACATTCGTCCGGAGCAATTTGGGGAAGAGACATTATGTAGAAAGTCAATTCTTCCTGAAAATATCGAAAAAGAGCTGCTGGAATATATATTGTTGACGGAGGTCATATTTTTCTATTAGGCCTATAAAAGCATTTTTGCGATAAAATACATCGGAGTAAATAATTTTGTAATTATTTAACATTCTTTGTACTTTCCTATTTGTTTTTGGATACATTAAAGCATTTTTTTGAAAACATACAGTAAGGTTCCATATTACCACCCGATTTTCTCTAAGCCTACTTTCGGACTTTTTGTACAAAAGCCTTCAAAAACCATACTTATAATTACACTAGCGAAAAATCCAATTAGGAACATTTAGTTTACTAGTTACCAGTACTTTTCGCACAAAAAATGTGGGTATAGTTATGATACATTGTCTACAATTCACTAAAATGTAATTGGGGTTCCATAATACCACCTTCTCCTCTACTTTATAACAGAAAGTTTTCCTTAAACGGTCGTCATAATTAACAGAAAATGGGATGTAATGATGTCGATCAAATCACAGGTCTTAAGCAATCTGTAATGAATTCGGGCCAGAATGACAGTTTTACTAGCATACCGTTTTAGATTGCGCTATTTTCTATTTCTGTAACTTTATTTAAAAAGTGGCTCTCCGTGCCTTCACCGGTATCGGATAGAATTATGTTTTAAACAACAAGCTTTGTAATTTTGTATTTTTCTAATATATATGCATAAAATTATATTTATTTAGATAAAATTCAAATATATTTCTCGCGATGGTAATGCAAATACAGTACATTCTCGAAGTCGGCATTCCTGCCTAGATTTTAAAACGCCGTAAATAGTTAAAATTACTTCTGATTACAAATAAATAGTACTTTTGAATATTATAATTCCTTTTTTTTATTAAAAATAATTTTAAATTAACAAATACGAAAATATCGTCAACGAAGAGTAAATGGATGTCTATATCGTCGTGTCGTATTAGCGTCGGTTATAGTAAAGTAAATATAGAAAAATCTTGCCTTTGTTGTGGGAGTATCTCTAATGCATATTATTAAAAAAATAATATTAAAATTAATATTAAACTGAAAAGTAATTTTTAAGAAATTAATTAATGTTAATCGGGAATTTATTACTCTTAAACATTTTTACATTTATTAAGAACAAACTGCGTATGTGTATAAACCGAAATTAACCACGCAAATTTTTAATTTTATAAAAGAAATTTTCGATTAGAAAATTCCCACAGACTTTCCAGAGAAAAGCGTACAGTTTAATAATTAAAACGTCCACCAGATGGAGACCGGTCGGACGGCCCATCGGCGTAGAAACGGCAGCGAAAAACAGGAATTATTTAAACCATAATATATTGACGGATCTATAACGCCGGCATTCTTAACTATTATGAGGTAATTATCCGATATTATTATAAATATTAATAAAACATTTTTATACTTAAAAATCGTCTTAAAATGGCGCCGTTATAAATGCGGATCCGCATCCGCATCTCGTTAGCCTAGACGATCCATCCATGTAAAAAGAAAAAAAAAAAAAAAGGGTTTATTGATCTTGACGGCTACATTCAATATTTTCCTTAATTATATTCGTAATTCAGATTATTAATAAGCGTTTTCTTCCATAAACACCATTCTTTTCACTTTCCAAATATATCTTTTTCATTTCGGGTCGCAAGTATTTCGTATATTCAAATTTATTATATCATTTTTACATTAAGATTAATTTTTATTTTGCAATATAAAATATTTTTTAATTATTTTTTCATGTAAATTGACTGGGTGCAACGTTGACGGAACTTTTTTTTTTTTTTACTCGGTAAATAAAGCGATGTTTAGCGAAGAATAATAATGGAAAAAGCCGACAGTCATACTTTTTTGTTGCTCTAAAAAGTAACTATTTATATTTACTTCTACTATTATCAGTTATTATTTATTCGATGACGATCTGAAACAATTATCATTTTAAAAATTCAATTTGATTACTTAATGGCGGCGAGAAAGCCTTCCGGTTATAAGTAATAGGTATTAAAACGTAAGTTTTATTATTAAAAAAAAAAGAAGGGCGTTATTACGGGGGTGTGGATTGTCGGTTAAACGAAGAAAGGGGTAAACTATTCCTAATTCGAGGAATATAAATTGTTGGGAAGGTAAACGGGCAATTATCGTAACTGTTAGTCGCTTTCGATCTTTTCGATTCGACCCGGATGGGCCGTTACCATTTCGTCCTCATCGACTGGAGGAGGGTGAGACGGAAGAAGCCATCGTTTACCGTTATAATTAAGGCGAAAAGATTTTTCAAAAATACAATACGACCCGTCCATCGGTGTTGGGTCTTTGCCAGTTCCGTTTGTCGACCGTCTCTATTGTTCCCACCGACCTCCGCCCCTTCGAAGTTACGTCGTCTCGCGCCTGATTTTAAAATCCTTCTTATATAAGCTGATAGATGCGGTAAATATTTATTCGCCTTCTTCTTCGTTTGCGCCATTTCCGACGACGCGATAACGTATTGTCTTGGCTCCAAGACAAAGATTTCTTCTGGCGTACGTCGGTGACGTCATGGCCATAGTATTTAAAGTCGCGTTTTTTAAAGGGATATTTTGGTCGGTGGATTAAAAGAATAAGACTTTTGTTCTTTTTTGTTTGCGTCTTCGAGTAAGGTCGAGGACGAGCGAAATTAATTCTGCTTGCTGTTTTCCTACCTCGATAATTCTTCCCCTACTCGGCTACCTTATTTTACCTTAATACGTAGAATGTATCGGTCGATAAAATCGGATTCGTGCCGGTTACTTACGCTTCGCTAAAATTGATTTACCATAAAAAATAAAATAAAAGGCAAAAACGGTCGCCGAGAAAATTTCAAGTAAATATCGAATGAAAAAAAAACCAAATCTTTCTAAATCAAAGTACGGTAATTCGAAAAATAAATTTCGAAAATCGCCAATAAAAGTGGCAAGAATCGAAAAATAGAAAAATGTTGAGCGAAATCTGAATAATTTCTCCTCGTAACCACATTCGTTATAGTTTATTCTTTCTTGTTTTTAACCTCGATATTTATAACAATATTTAAATCTAATTCGAATAAAAAAAGAAAACAAAAAAAAACAAAAGAAAATAAAGTAACTGTCATCTTTATTTTGGCCATTTGTCAGGAAAAAATCTATCGTAATTACATAAGAGATGTTGTTCGCTTAGGATAAAATAGAAATGAATTTTTTTTCGAGGAATATTTTTACGATGTATTTCTTCAGAAGTGACGTTATTAAGTTTCTAATTATTTAATACGAAATATCGAGTAAATAACGGACGTTTGACTATTGTTTTCTTCTAAAGAGTCGTCGGAATTGCTAAAACAATTCGTTTACTATTAAATTGAGTCGCGTGTGTTTTCTTCAGGGCATTCCGAATCGTAACGAATGTCTTTTGATCTTTATATAGCGCGCAAACGTTTTTCGTCGAGTGGACCCGTCCAAAATCCCTAATTCTATTTTGTAAAATTTATTTACTTTTTTTTAAAACGCATTTTACCTTTTCGAAATTTTTTTTTTAAACGGAGAAAACCGACGACGGATCGATTCCCCGACGTATCGAAGTATATGATTGTTCGTCGCGGGAGGCGCTTTCTCCGTGACGTCATAACACGCGATGTCTATTGCAGTGTTTCCTATTCGTCCGACTTTGGGTTCTTAAGTCGATTCGTTCGTCTTACGTTTTAGAAACTTATCTTTTTAATGTCTTATCTTGAATTCACTTTCTCCTTATTTACAAAGCTTCTTATTTTTCGACAATAATTTTTTTTTCATTTTTTACCTCGAAAAAGAAAGAAAAAAAAAAAAAAACTCCGGAGGATCCGAATTTAATTATTCGTAGGACACGGTCAAGGTTAGAGACTTTCCATGTTTACAAATTTATATAGATTAGTCGATAGTTAATTTTCAGCGTATAAATATACGGAAAACTATGGAAGAGTATCTATCCTTCAAAAATTTAATCGATAATACTTTGTTTTAATTATAAATAAAATTCCTTTAGTAGACAAATTACCGTCAAAAATAAAACCGAAGAACATTTCATTTGTAGTAACAATAAAACGTCGAAGATGATCCAAAGTTCAATTATGTGCGCGACTTCGTTCTTTCGCTCCGTAGGAAACGATTCCAACTATTGTTATAGACTCTGCATATTTACTCGGCTTCGCATATTTACTTGTCAAATAGCAAATTAACGACGTCTTAGTGTCTGTCGAATTCCGACTATTGTTACCGTAGCAACAATATCCGCCGTATTTAACTCTGTTGTTTTTCGACAATTGAATAGAGTCTTTGATACTTTCCGTAACAGTTTTACTTAATTATAATCTGGAAGTGATTCTTATCTTCTGGATTTTGTTACGATGGGCGTAATTTTATTCTTTATTCCTTCGGAATTTATGGCGATTGTTATTGAAGACGGGATCCTTTTCCTAAAATTCCATTTATTCAAATAATAGCCTAATAGCCTAAATACGTCTTACGATTTAATTCTGTTGTCATCAGGGAAAAGTAGAAATTAATCTAATTTCTCTTCTTCATCCCTTAACTTAATGCTAACTTACAATAACAAATGTTTCTTAACGTAGAATCTTTTGAAACTTCTATTTATTATCTAGAGATGACAATTATTGCGTGTCCTTAATTATCAGCTTAAGCTCAACGAAACTTTCGAGTGATCAGTTGAGATTCTATCGCAGAAAAATTCCTCGATTTTGTCCATGTAATTTGGAGAGAATTAGAGTCTTAATTAGAATTGTGTTGGGAAAAACTTGCGATTTACTGCTGTCAATATACAAATCACGCTAACGATAATGACGAATTGTAAGAAACAACGTTTTAAACGTAAAAAAGTAGTAAAATAGAACTTCCTTTAATTAGAGAATGATTTAAGTCTAGTTAGGGACGAAACGTGCGTACGAGGATCGTTCCTTAACGTAATAACGTTACGTAGGCGCTTATTCTGTACAGGGATGGCCGCTTAACCTTGAAATGGCATTGATTTCGACTCTGCGGTACGGTAGGCGCTCCTACTAACATCGAAGTCGTCGTTGGAAGAACTAACGCTCAAATATATTTGTTATATTTCTCATTACATTCGTCGTTTTATGATTTAAAAACATATCGATGATATTCGGTGTCTTTTGGATATTGGAGTAAGACGATTATTTCGTTTATCCGTAAGCAATCTTTATTAATTAATACAACTTGCCGCTTGAGGAGTTCGAATATTAGGCTGATTACTCGGGGAAGGGATTCAGTCATCGCTTTGAAATTTTTAAACGTATTCGAGATTTCTTTTCTTTTAAGTTTAGTGTAAAGCGAATACAGTACTCAAAAATATTTTATTAGAAAACATTTTAAAAAACAATCATCTTGTGCTTAAAAATGTGTTGAAATTTCATTAAAATAAGAAAACAAAATAAAAGTAGTTGTATAATTTCATATTGTTCAGTGTGGTGTTCCAGAGAGTTTTTCTTTTTCTTACTGACTTTTTTAAGTAGAAATTTGATACTGTTCCAATTTTTTTAAATTTTATTGTTGTAATTATTTAATAGTAAGGTATTGTAAAGTTTGCTTTATTATTATTGAAAATATTACTGCCATTTCTTAGAGTCGTGATCCGTGTTCGTGTACCGTTTGGTTTAAAGTACAGGCAAAAAAAAAAAAGATATATAAAAACAGTAGACTAAATTCAAACTTAGATTAAAATTCTACGGGCTATTTGAGACGAATTGAAATAAGATAGGACGGTCGTTAATTCACAGCTGAAAAAAGCTGAAGTATAATTTATTAATAAGATTCAGGGAAAAAAATAGAAAAATTGCCATTGAAGACTCACCTGCCATTCCAATACTTCTAATTGTTAGAAGTATTGGAAGTAGTGGCAGGTGAGTCTCAATATTTCTATAACATTATCAAGTAAAATTATTCTTATAAATTTATACTTAATAATACATCTGGGTTTTCTAGTTTACGCTACTCTGTTTTTCGTTTCTTGATTTCCTTGTTAAAATTATAAGCATCGACGTCCTTATTATACCAAATCTACGAGCATATTTACAAATACGCTACATTCAGCAAGTAAACATAGTCTTTTTAATTCAGTCTTGCATATTGACTAATACACGTGGCTTTTGTAATGTTAAATCATAGATATATGTTTAGATTACAATATTATTTAATTTACATATAATTGTTTTCTTTTGCTACCGGAATGAAAAGGTATTGATATTCATTATCTACTGCAGATTCCAAAATTTCTATAAATGTGTAAAATTATGTAAAGTGGATAACATTTATAAAGGTTTGCGCCGTACTTTTTGCATATTTTTACGCCGTAATCGCGGTGTAAAATTGTAAAAATATTCTGTTTGTTGCATCGATCGAAGAGAGAATAATGATGGGAGATTTCAAAACTCATTTTGTCTTATGTCCAATTTCATCAGTCTTCGTTAAAACTGTACAAATGTTATTAAACCTGTTTAATAGCTGAAAGTATATTAATTAAACCTCATTAATACCGATGAATATCGTAAAACTGGTTGTGAAATGCTGTTTTAAAAATCCGATTTCGGAACGTTAAAGTTTCTAACAGTTCGTTAAATTAACGATGAGTTCCATCTAATACGCTAACTATCTTGAAACTTATTATTATTATTTTATAACGAATTATTGGAACCACACAACTTATTTTTTTTATAATGAAATTTCTTTGTAAAGGTTAATGGAAGAATGCAAATTGTAAGCACATTTAATTTGAAAATAGTCATACAAATGCTACTGTTCATTACAAAATTTACTTTTCAAGAAGTACTATTTTCGTTGATATCACGTATTTAGTTACGTCATTAAAAATGAAACGTATAATAAGTCTACTATTTGACTATTAAAAAATATTTTCTGGGATATATAAATAGCTGACGAATATGGAAGAATTTTTTCTCTTATCCAATCTACTAGAAATGAAAAGTATTCACCAGTTGGCAGAACAGACTATCGATTACGAACCACCGGATGACGATATCTTATATCAGCTATTTTCAACGGGGGCCATACGGCTCATTGGGGTCACAGTAAGGATATCACGGAGTGAAAACCGTAAAAAAAGGATTCGAACGTATTAAACGGATTAAACATTTTTAAAAAGGGCGAAAAGGTCTTTGCTGCTAGGATACTTTTTCCTTCTCCCAGTTTTAGATGCCCACTAGTGGCCGAGTGGATAAAATCATTAAAGATTGGAATTTATCATAGGTTTGCGTCTGACCAACGGGCTGGAACGTGAAGCTCGAATGGCTCGAAGTTTTCTGGGTTTTTTTTTACATGTCTAACGCTAAATAGAGACCAGTTTCCGTTAGAAAGTTTTCCAGGGAGGCATCTCTCTTTTGGCGATTCCCTCGTGTTGCATTGTCGTGTCCCATCAGACTAAATTCAATTTTAGGTAGGGAGGGACATAAAGAAAGAAAGAACAAGTAAGTTCGTCACAAAATCTAATACACATTAATTAGCGTGAATACAAATTTAAAATTTTTGACACATGTAAGCACTGTGAGGGCTGGATAGAGCCGTCGAGAGCGAGGTAGACCGGACACTATACTATGAATTACTTTTGGTATTCGTTTTCTTTTTTATACTTATTTTGAAAAAATAAAATACATCGAATGTTTCTTTATTAATAAAAAACAGTATTAAATATTTCAATTTTGATAATAAAAATAACATTAATTTTATAGGAGTAGGAACCACTAGGACTCTGAGTTTTCTCTGGGTTTGGGAAAAATTTGCAGCTTCCTCTCTCGATGGTCTCTCTAAAATGGCTCGAGAGAGCCATTTTAGAGAGGTTGCGGCCGAAGTTTTCATCTGTAAAACGTGGACGTCGAACGTCGAGCGCCGCTATCTTATAAGTGGCGCTCGACGTTCGACGTTCACGTTTTACAGATGAAAACTTCGGCCGCAACCTCACTTTTAAATTGTATGGATATACTGGAAGGGGACGGCAGTTGATGAGTGATACTTGGAAGAGCAGAAGAGACATATCGGAAACTTAAATCGGATAAAATTTGTCCTCAGTACCAACAAATTTTTACCATGCTTGCTATAAGAAGGAAAGGAAACGATGCTATCCTCGAGTGCAATAAAATGACGAAGACAATTTTTCTTGGACAACATCTCACCTAAGCATGCAGCCGCGGCGTCTGGAAGTCGTCATTTTCTATAGTTTTTCTTGAACAGAACTTTCTTTCTTTCTTGATTTTGAGGCAAAACTTGTTTTAATTGAAAAATACTTCCACGAAATGATTATTTTTTTTTCTTTTGAAGAATTGGAATATGTTGTAGTTTGTAGGAAAGAAATATGAAAAGAAACTTAATCAACTAAACTTGATTATTTTACAGAGGACCACAGAATTTTATGATAGAAGAACACCAAAGAAGCCAAAATAAATTGAGAAAGGCTGCTTAGGAATGAAATGAACATCGTTTCCTTCTTATAGTAACACTTTTTATTCGAAAGTTTTCTAGACGAAAGGAGCAATCTATTTTAAAGTATCCGCCGTAAATAATCGTTTTATACATTTAACTCTCTATGTAAGAATATTATATAATATCAAGTGAAAAGTATCAATAAACATTATTTTGAATCGAAACTAATTAATATATTGTAATTTGATTTTATTCATAATTGAGTTGGAATTTTTAAAAGACGTATGTCATATTGAATAAATTTTCGAGAAAAACTCAAAAAAAGTGTTTAAAACCCACTTTTTGTTTTGTTTAAATTTCATCGACCAGCCATAAACTGATATTATATCAAAAAATTTATAAGGTGAGGTGCATATCTAATTTTTTATTGACTTATAAAGTTTCATGACTTACGCCCTTTAAAAAAATGTGATTTGTGATTTTAAAACTTTGGATAAAAATAATCAAAGTTAATTTTAGTTAGTTTTATTTCAACGAAGTTTACATAATAATAATAATAATACCACATTCTGCCATAAACAATACAACATATAACTTTTGGTTGCAAGCTCTTAGCACAAACTATTTACATAGGCATAATCAAATAGCAAATATAATACACCAAAAGCTTGCACACAAACACAGATTACAGATTATTAAACACCCAGGTACCATACTACAAATATACTACAACAGAGCCATAATCACAAATAAAACAATTAATTACAATAGACCTGACATCATTCTCATTGACAAATACGGTAAGATCGCTTATACAATAGACATCTCTGTTCCAAACACTCATAACATAAAAAGGCTCACACTGATAAAATCAGCAAGTACACTCCACTCACTCAAGAAATAAGACAGATGTGGCGGATGGATAAGATGTTTATTGTACCTGTTGTCCTCTCTTCTACTGATGTTATACAACATACACTACACAAAAGTCTAGAAACCTTAAACCTTAATAAAAAACATATGATATGGCAGTACAGAAAGCCGCAATATTACATGTCACATCGTTCATATAGGAGATTTTTAGATGTTGACACATACACCAATAACACAGCTTAATGTTACACTTGTTTGAGTAGCTATATTACAACTTTTTAATCACTCTTGGTCCTTACTTTAATAAAATAAATGTCATTCGAGATAAAAGAAAACATCAATTGGAGTTGTTATTCAAACTAGTCAGGCTTTCAATGTTTTTCCATGCTATTTTCATGTTCTGTTGGCCAAGAAAATATTTTTGAATAGAATTCCTTGTGGTCACAAGGAATGTATTTCTGCATCTTCATCAGATTTTGCTTCGCTCTTATGATAGAAACTTTTCTAGTTGGGTAATCAGGTGACAATGGTTGTAGTAGTGACTCTGGTCTCATATGATAGCAGAAACTAATGATTCCTTTGGTGTAACCATATTTCATGGCAATAAACAAAACGTACAAGATTATAAAATTTCTAGGTTTATTTATCTCTTTAGAAATAGCATTTTATTTAGTAAAATTTCCATCAGATTATGACATCTAATGTATCCTTTGGTGCTATCTCTAAGGCAGACGAGAGGCTAGGGATGATGGGGCAAAATTCTCCGGGCCAGGACTCACAGGGGGCTGGACATTATCCCACAATTCATTTATTTACGCTCTATTATAATACTGTATAAAAAGCTTGACACTAACTATTGTTCTTTATTTTATAAAAAACAAAACTCAAAATAAATTTTCAAATAATTTATTTACTTAGGGCCCAATTTTTCCCAACAGCCCCGGCGACGTCTCTCGACGCCACTGGCCATTTCTTTTACTCAGAACTTTCCAAGTACACCATTCTGTGTAATATGCCAAGTAAACCAAGTAAACTTCATAAACTGTAAAGATTCTGCCGTGTCTCCGGAGATACTTGGATGCTTGTATCTAAATCTCGGTCACACGATAAGAAACTGTCACTTTAGATAGGAAAATAATACATTATCTGAAATCCCCGTGAGTGAAAGCAGATAGAGGAAAAGAGTCTGATTATTATTTTGAAATTAGAAAAAACAAAATACGGTCAAAATTTTGGCGACGCCCTTTTAAAATATTCAGTTCAATTATGATCATTATGCTAGAATTAAAGATTTACAAACTTTACACACAACGCAATTTCAAACTCAGTAATCAGGGCACCCATACTTTGGGGCGGTTGGGACACGTGTCTCCTTTTCGTCGAGTTGCTCTTTTCTTAATCCTCAAGGGCGCTCTAAGGTTTCATTATATATATATATAATGAAGCCTTATAAATATGCAGTATAAATTTATATATATATATAAATTTATACTGCATATTTTATATTATGTACTGTATATACGATGTCCTTTTTATGTGCTCTCCCCTCTTTTTTTATAATCTGCGGGCGCCTCTGTAAGTAATGATACATTTCTATATATAAAATAACAGACATTTATTTATTTTTAATTAAAATGAGTTCTCTTATTATTTATGTAGTTATTTAATTTTCTAACAATTTTTGATCTTCTTGCTTTCAGTTTTTTTCTTTTGTAACATTCGAACAATTTTCATGACCCAGTTTAGATTTTTCTGCCGGATTCGAACCCATATCTTTCAGAGCAGCAGCTCGACCTGTTATTGAAGTGGAACTTGCTAACGAAATGTCAATTTTTTTAAACAATAGTTCGAAAATGTTACGTTAGCAATTAATTTAACAATGATTGGTGAAACCGACTTTTAGTCTTCCTTACAATAACAGTCATTCTTCAACTATATCATTCAGTAATTTATAATCCGCGCTTTTCTCGTCAATACAGGAAATCCTCCTTATTTCGAAATTGAAGGAACGAAATAATAGCGACTTTGAATTATCGACTTTCGAATTATCTGAGATTTACATATTTTTATTAAACATATGTTCTCCATCTCAGAATAGTAGTATCTTGCCCCTGTACATCATACTTTTCCTTTAACATTAGAGTCATGCCGGTCATCTATCTAACCCCTTTCAGGAGAAAATTTTTGAATTGAAATAACGTGATTTCCGATGCAAACCAGACGTTTACATTAAGTTAATCGGGGCCTCCTGTCCCTAAGTTTGTTTGTTTGTTTTGTTAAGTTATGACAACGCAACACTTGGGTGATCTGACTAGTGGGAGATTCCTTCCAGGAGGTCTTTTATAAGGGTAACTGGCCCCTATTCAGGCGTTATATACGTGGAGAAAACCCGGAAAACACGTGACCAGCTTGTCCGGGCGAGGCGTGAACCCACGACCGAACTCCCAGTATTCAGGGAACGGAACCGCTTGGCCATTGGTGGCCTCCTGTCTCTAAAGTTTCCATATCTGATCTCGTCTTTCATCTATCTAACTCCTTTCTCGAGATTCGGGAAAGACAGACGGACAGACGAAAGTGAGAATTTATAGGTCTACAATTTTTTCAAACTGCAGCCTTATAATATAAATGTGAAGGCATATGTCCGGTAAGAACCTCACATGTTGCCACATAAGTTTTATAAAAAGTAAAGCAGAAATCTTTACTTCGAAATGTTTCCCAAATTGTTTTTTAAAGTGGCCCAAAAAGTAGTTAGTCGCCCAAATGTAGCAGCCTATATTCCTACAAATATCTTAATCTGCTAGTTGTAGCCCAATCTTGCAATCCCGAAAACCAGCCTATTTTATAAGAGAAAAAAAAAGTTAATGTGATACCCTAAAATGCGTTACTGTAAAAGCAAAGCTATAATCGCCAGATTAGAATTGTTCTAGATTTATTGTTGTTTTACACGGTGAAAGCACTTCGATCTAAACCAGGGTTATCCAATTTTTTTTCCTAATGGGCCAAATTAGAAATTTACATATAAATATATGTTTTTAAAAAGTTCAAAATGTGATTATTAAATTTTAATAACAAATATATATAATTACAAAAAATACTGTATTATTTATTGACAATAAAACAAATTATACTCACACAAAATAAATTCAATGAGATTTTTGACATTGCCTTCCTTTTATAATACAGTATTGACAACATCTGCTTTTATGATACTAGTCTTAATTGTAAGAATGTTAGTTAAATGGGAATCATTCAACCTATTTCTTTCAGCAGTTTTGATGTTTTTCATGCACGAAAAAGAATTGTTCGCAACAGTATGTACTCACATACTGTTGCGAACAATACCCCACATGCATAACAGTTTTCTAGATAAAACAATTTTCTAGTAGAAATTACGTCATTATGACATAAAAGTGTATCTAGTGAAACGAGAATAATTTCTACAACATAGTTTACCAAAATAAGTGAAAATGTACCTGAAAAATTTAGGGTGCAATGGGCAGCATAAAAATATTAAGTGGGTTGCACATTCCTGATCTAAGCAAACGAGTTAAGATACACATATCACAGTTCAGACCTAATTCTCACTTCGAATTACAAAGTAACCGTATTTCGAACTAACCGAATTTCTTAACATGTAGATCTATATATCACCGGCCGGGACAAAAGTACAATTATGAACTAATGGGATTTCGCACTATCCGAGTTCGAATTAACGAGGATTTCCTGTATTTTTGAGGGTTTCATGAAATTAGTCGTTGTTCTATTCCAGTATCTTTGCACGGGTTTTGTAATTAGAGAACGATAATACGGAATGAGTGGTTCAATCCTGTCTTTAGCCCTCGTTGAGCCACCATTGCTATCTCACTAATCTCAGAAACCATCTCGTATGACAGTCGGTCGCCTCGTAGTAGTGGTGCGAGGGAGATTGACACTATAGAGATAGAAAATCTTGCGCTTTAATGACCTAATATCTATTTTAAATCAAAGAATCTACACTCATTGATAAAAACAGTAGTTGAAATTAAAGAAAATGACGAAAAAATAAACATTTTATGTTTGACTAGTAAAATAATTTAAAGAATTAGTCAAAATATTTTTCTCATTTCACAGACTGATAAGATGATAGAGCATACGTTATTTGCGAAAATTTACCTACGTTATCGTTCCGATACTAAAAATAAAAACAACCGATCGCATATTGTTAACATATTAAAAATATGTTGAAATATAAGAAACATGAATAGGTTAAATTAACTTTTAATAATTTGTTTCTTTCAGATTTAATGTCGGGGCACATCCTGATGGCAAGTTATCACAGATGAATGCGTTCAAGTTAACAGACAACATTCCCGGGTCGCCGATGGCAAAATCTATTAATTACCAAGCATTTGTCTCTTCGGGAGAGATAATTAGGAGTAAGACTTATTATTTACAATGCCTGATGTTAGTTCGACGGATTTCGAGGGAACTAATAACTGCAAAACTCTCCGTTCTACTTCGATGGATGAAAAGTTTAGAAAAGAAGAAGCTCTACTATTAAATCCTTCAAGCGGAAGCAATGACGAACAGGGTTATGACAAAGCACATTCGGCTCAAGAGATCCGTTCTTCGGCTTCTTTCACGTCGTCTCCTTCGGAGACGGAAGGAAGATCTATGCCCGTCCCCCCCGATGGCGGTTGGGGATGGGTAGTCGTATTTGCTTCCTTTATGATTAATCTCATCTCGGACGGCGTGTCCCTATCCTTTGGCATTCTGTTCGTAGATCTGGTCAATTATTTTGGCGAAAGCAAAGGCAAAACGGCATGGGTCGGCTCTATATTTCTCAGCATGCCTCTACTAACCGGCCCCATCGCTAGTTATCTTACTGACAGATACGGATGCAGGAAAATAAGTATAATAGGAGCTCTGTTATCCGCCTTGGGATTTATGGCTAGTTACTTTTCACATTCCTTAGAAATGCTCTTTCTTATGTTCAGTTTGTCCGGATTTGGTCTCGCTCTCTGCTACGTCACTTCAATCGTCATTGTCGCCTATTACTTCGAAAAAAAGAGATCTTTAGCTACCGGTCTAGCCGTATGCGGAACCGGAATTGGCACCTTTGTTTTTGCGCCTCTGACTATTTATCTTCTAGAAAATTACGCCTGGAGGGGCACTCTACTTATTCTATCTGGATTCTTCTTAAACATCGTGGCGTTCGGAGCTCTCATGCGCGATTTGGATAATCCGAAATCTTGTGATAACGTTAGTAACGACGAAGGAAAAAATGAAATAACCGAAGAATGTAATTTAGAATCGAAAAGTTTCGAAGAATCCGGAGAACGTCTTTGCAGTTCGTTGGTACATCTTCCTACTTACATAAATAGTTCTAACGTACCCGTCGAAGTCATCACCGAACTGTCTAACAAAGAAGGTGGTTATTTGAACTCTTTATTAGAACATTATCCGAATATATTAAAATGCCTGGTGACTCCGGAAGGAGACGATTACACGCTGACCGTAAAGAGTACGCTGCCGTTGTTTTCCGTTATTCCACCCAACGTACAACACAATAATAACGAAGTTGTGGATAACAAAAGTCCGGAACAGAGTCGGAAGAATTCTACTTGGTCCACTAAATCCGAAAGTCAGAAAGCCAGTTGTCTTCGAAACATGAGGCTTCAACGAGGAAGCATCACTTACAGGGGCGCAATGCTTAATATCAGACGTTACCGTTTGCGGGCATCCAGCTGTCCGGATATTTATCGCAATAGTATGATGACAATCACCGAATCCGAAAAAGTAAGATTTATTCGTTTTTTTCATTTTAGTAATTATAAGAAGAGAAATGGAAACGGTTATAAAACTGATTGTGTGTAAGAATTATAAAATTCTTACACACAATCAGTTGGTAAGGTGCTGTATATATTCGCTGCATGCAAAACATTTCTCATGTTTTCTACAGACACTTGGTAACTTACGACAATGGAAAAAATGCTTAAGTACAGTAGAGCCTCGATTATCCGACCCCCGATTAACCGCCACCTCGGTTAACCGACCGTCCTAGTCGGCAAATTTCAAATGTCCGCTAGTGATGTGGCGCTACAATATTTGGCTATGTCTTGGCTACTTTAATGTTATTTTTACGTGTTTTAGCTGGCAACACTCAATCGACCATGAAAGGGAACCAGTATTTAAACGAGGCTTAATTTTCTAATTTTTAACGATACAATAGCGACGATTATTATTTTAAAAAATTTTTGTTAGGCTTAACATCGATGAAAATTCAACGCGAAGTAGGTTAATAGCGATGTACTAATATACTAATTACATGGGATATAATAATATACTACACTAATAATGGATTTTTTCATACTTTTCGGTTATCCGACTTTTCAATTATCCGACCAACCCCAGTCCCCAATTGAGTCGGATAATCGAGGCTCTACTGTATTCCATATTAAATTGCAAGTTGCAAAATTTGCAATAACCCGCACCGAATTCACACTAGCACCACTGGGACCAATTTTGAAGGGCGATCAGCGGTTGTCACGACGATAAAAAATTGCCGGTGGCCGTCATGCCAATTCAATAGACTTGACTTGGACCACGATTGCCGGACCGGCAAATCGAAATCGGCCAATCGGTTAATGCTCCTTTGACATCACGTTGTAAAATGATGTGGAAAATTCGGTATTCGATCAAATAACTATTCGTTGCAGCTTTATTATACGTACAGTATGTGTAATTTTTCCGAAAACATTCCGAAGCGTCTCAGAAATAATTGAATGAAATTATTGTAATTATGAAAAGAATCGTATAGGCGTGATAATTTTGCGCTACCTCATTAAAATATAATAGATTTAATTACAATAATGAAAAAAAAGAGCTTCTAATCGACTTCTTTGAAAACATTCGAAGCTGAAAAAATTATTGTATACTTGTTAATTAATTATAACATATTTTGTAATGTAGGAAGTTAATATTTAACAATTGACGTTTATTTCGTCAAATTATATCCTACGTCATGGGATCGAAGCCCGCCTGCCGATATCTCACGCTCTAAAAATCGGTTAGTTTTGATTGATTGCAACCGTAATAATATTCTCTTTCTAAGTTGCTCCTATAGACATGTTGGTTTTACGTCAATAATAATGGATAGAAACGTCAATATTTTTGTCTCCACTAGAAATTTATTTTCGGAATTTTTAGGATATATGTCATAGGCTATATATACACGTATATTCGTAATATGTATATCGTGTGAAAGATTGTATTTATTATTAACCTTCGTGGGCTTGGCCGACCCAAAATGGGAGTGGCCGGGTGGTAAAAAACATCCCAGCATCATGGACATGTCCCGAGACAGGACAGTCTATGAAAAAATCCTGGGATTGCACGTCCGAATTTTAATACAGGGTAGACTAATGCCTTAACCGTCTCGGCCATCTCACCTTCGATAAGTGAACTGTCACACAAAGATGAGATTTTTATGCTGGTTTCGAAAGTGAACAAATTTCTTGCCTTTATTTCTATCATTCGTGATTAATTTGTCTCTTCTACGACAAGCAACAAAATATGATTAATCTGGAATTCTTACTTCTTACGCGGTTAGTGCGTATGTACAGTACGTACGCATTACGCGCGCAAGAAAAACATTAATCTGTGACCGGTGATTGATAGGTTATTACAGCTGTATATTGTGATCAATTCATAAGTTGTCGTAAATTATAATTATATTACATTTAATAGAAGCATTGTCATTCAATTTAGCACTGCTCAGTTTGGTGGCAATAACTTCTACGAAACCTGAACGATTATGCTAAACGATAAATTACGATTTGACGCGAATGGCTGGTGTCAACTTCTGTTCCTTTCTACTTATAACTTAAAAATATTCGAATTTAAAATAAATTCATCCATAAGTTTTTAGTTGCTGATAGCTATTAATACTATAATGCACGCCTCATACTCCAGAATAAATTTAAACTATACTTTATTATTAAGCCATCTTTTATTAGTTATCATTACCAGAAGGAAGAGTAAATGAAGTTCGCTACTAAACGTGACGTCAATACATACAACATGTTCCATTTTCTCTCTCTAAAACTGTTGAGTTTGGCTACTGAATGCAGCTCATGGTTTTAATACGAATAATTTAATAAAGTCGAACCTCCCAAAAACGGCCACCTCTAAACAGTGGCCTTTGTTTTATGTCCCCGTCACTAGACGCTGTACAGAGGTTTGTGTTTCCGATTTTGATTTCTAATTACTCAGCAATACTGTATTTATTCCTAAAATATATTTCAGGAAATTGTGGTAACAAACAAGAATTAGCAATCAATTTTAGAAATAAAACTGACTTTTTAAGGAAATCCTAAATGAATAAACTAATTATCATCTCGTGTCTATCAACTAAGAACGGAAGTAAATGATCGAATTAATAGAGCTGAGTTAAAAGTGTTGCTTTATCGCACGAGAGAATGACTCATAAATGATTGCATAACTTCCAATTGCTTCTTAGTAAACAGTTCACAATTGCTCATTGATATTACGTGATACACACGTGTACAGTTTTGAGAGGTGACGAAAACTACATCATTGTACACGATGGGAAGGGAGGGGGGGTCGAGCATTGTCTACGTGGTATTATTGAGGTACGAATTTGTTCCTACGAGCCTATTTACTAATCGCGTGAATAAATTATACCCTAATTAAAGGGAAATGGATTTGTCTCATCGGGGAAGAAGGATGTCAAAGGTGACTCAAAAACNGCTATTGATTGAAAAAATAAAATGAAATATTTTTTCATTCAATCGATCAATCTCTATTAATTATTAAGAGAGGAAAATAGATCAAACTTTTCTCAATGGAATATTATATTATTTCCATTGAGAAAAGTTTTTGTATATATATATAATCGGTACAAGAGTTATAAAAAATAGGAAGAAATATTGCAGAGAGAAGTAGGTTATTTATGTGCAGAATTACCGAAGAAAACTTGAAGGGATGAGAAAATGCGAATCTTTTATATTATAGTATCATAATAATAAATCTCTGACCTTGAAAGTGTTAATTAATATCTGTGTTTTCGAATGGTTGATCTTTTGTTCTATATTATTCCAGATTTTTATACTAGCAAAAATAACAGATATTTGTCCGATAACTAGGTGACATTTTCGTATTCTGGATTTATTTTCTGTTCTAAAGGAGTATGTCGATAACCAGTTATTAGCTTGATAAACAGTATAAAAAACCAAAGATTTCTTATTGAATATGATGTTTACACTACTTATATAATATACAATATATTTTATATACACAAGGTATAAATTACTTATCATTTCTAGCGCGTATGGATGTAATGCGAATTATTTAGGTTCCATATGTAATGTAGTACAGAGAAAGTTATTTTGCAGCAGTCACTTTTTGAACGAAATGCGTACTTATACGCGTTGCCCCAAATAATTATGCAAGCTATTTTTGGTTCGACGATTGATTTATGAATCGTTTTAATAATATCTTGGCTTATTTATTGTTTCAATCGCTTTGCTGCTACAATAAATTTGGTCCTTTTATTGGTAAGCTTTAATGTGATTAGTTTAGTTTATTGTCTGAGTAATCGTATTTCGTATATGTATAATACTTCTGTTGATCTTCATCCCATTGAGTTGTATGATAGGCTGTGTTATAGACCGAGAATTACTTTTGTTAATTTGAATCCTAAGGAATACCGTATGTTAACAAATATATACAGAAACCTAAGGAATACCGTATGTTAACAAATATATACAGAAACCTATAGGATAGCATTATTTAATCTCACTGCATATATACTCTTTTGATAATTCGTTAACCATTCTAAATAAGTTCTTATTATTCCAAATGTATTTAATTTATTGTTTAACTTGCAGAGAGATATCGAGTCGAATGCTTTTGATAAGCGGATAAAAACACTTACAGTATTTCTATAAGTCTAGGTTTGTTGTCAGTTCACGTTGAAACTGAGCCAAAGCTTTTAAAGTTGAATCATTCTTAAATCCGTATTGTTCATTGTTGATTAAACTCGTTTTTGACAAAGTATAAAGTAATCACTTAGAGAAATTGTTTTAAAACAAGTATTCTAGTAAAACTAATATAATTATTACTGATCGGTAATTTGTAATTTTCGTTTTTAACTTTTCTATGTACAGGACAAATAGTATTATGAAGAAAAACATTGTAGGGATTAAAGTATATGTATTTTCGGATTATACGAGGTTTTCAGTGTAGGCTACTGGTGTCCAAACTATTCGTTTGGCGGGCCAAAATATGCATAAGTCGTAGGTAGGTGGAGCACAAATCTTTTGCATATTCCATACACAAAAAATTTGCTTATTTTATTCATAAGTGGTGTGTCAAGTTTGTTAGTGAGCATAGTTTGAGCATTCTAGGCCACAGATAAAAATTTACAGTATTTTTTAGTAAAATCTCCTAACAGATGGCGTCACACAATTTTTTAAAATAAATTTCTCTGTTATCCAGAAAAAGAATATTTGTCTTAAGTCAATAAAATTACCAACCCTAACAGTTTTTTAAACACTATTATTATTATACGAAAAACGAAATTGATAATTGGAACATGAAAAGAAAATTGATCAAATTTCATTAAAAAACGTTTGTGATAAACAATATTTATGACAGAAAACGATAAATGTTACATTAATATTACTTTAAAATTGCTTTAAGTTATATTTAAATTTTATACAACAAAATATTGAAAAACAACAATATTTTAAACGTAATTATCAACAACTAAAAAA